CTAGAAGAGACTTTGACTGGTCGGGGACCTCGAGGTGCGGAGGTTATCCCTGGGTTACCCTGGCAACCACAGGAGTCCTGTGAGAGGGAAGCAGAGGGCGAGCTGACACAGGAGAAGAAGCAGGGGCCGGGGAGGCAGAGGAAGGTGTGAGGATGGTTGAAGGGCCATGAGCCCGGGGAAGAGGAGGAAGGCAGCTTACAGCTGGAAATGGCAAGGAACAACTTTTCCCCTAGAGTCTGACCCTGCTAACACCTCAGTTTTAGCCCACTGAAGTGGACTTTGGACTTCTGACCTCCAGAACTGTAAGAGAATAAATTTGTCTTGTTTTAAGCCACTCAATATGTGCTAATTTGTTACAACAGCCATAGGAAATGTATAATATAGGGAACAAATAAAAACTAGAACAGAGTGCAAGTCTTGCTGTCACTGAACAGGAAGGTTGGTGGCTTAGATCAGCATCCCCATCCTTTGGTGTGGGCGAGAATCGTTTGAGATGCTGTTTTAAAATGGGGTGATTCCCGACTTCCGCCAAGATGGAGGCGTAGGTGGAAGCACTGGACCTTCTTGCACAACCAAGTTTAAAAACAATAAAGTTTTAGTAACAAAAATGCAGCCAAACCACAGAAAATTGAACTACACGGAAGTCTGACAACAACGAACCCTTCAGCCAAACTGGTAAGAGGGGCAGAGCCAGCAGCAGAGCGGGGTCCGTCAGGAAAGATCCACCGGACCAACTGGGGCGCACAAACCAGGTGCGCCAGCAGCTGTGGGTGGATCCCAGGTGTAGAGAAGCGGGCGGACCCACTGAGGGCGCAAAACAGTGGACCCACTGGGGGCTGATTGAGATCACACATTCGCCTGCAGATAAACTGGTGAAGGAGCGAGCATTGGGACCGCACAGGCCCCAGCAGCAGGAAGTGGCAGAGGGGACCACTATTGTCCCTCTCTGACCACACCCCCACACACAGCATCACAAACCAGTGACCTGGGTGGCCCCGCCCTGGTGAACACCTAGGGCTCCACTCCTCATATGTAACAGGCACGAACAGATCAAAACATGGCTCAAGAAGAACTCAGAGCGCCAGAGCCAATAAATCTAAGTGAAGAAGAAATAGCCAAACTTTCAGATGCTCAGTTCACAACACTGGTCATCAGGATGCTCACAGAACTGGTTGATTTTAGTCACAAATTAGAGGAACATACGAAGGCTAAACTAATTGAAGTGAATGGAAATATACAGGAAACCAATAGTAATGGAAAGGAAACTGGGACTCAAATCAAAGGAGTGGACCAGAAGGAGGAAAAAAATGACCAAACAGAAAAGGATAAAGAAACAAGAATTCAAAAAAATGAGGAGAAGCTTAGGAACCTCCAGGACATCTTTAAAAACTCCAACATCTGAATTATAGGGGTACCATAATAAAGGAGAACTTCCCCAATCTGGCAAAGGAAATAGACTTCCAGGAAATCCAGGAAGCTCAGAGAGTCCCAAAGAAGATGGACCCAAGAAGGAACACACCAAGGCACATCATCATTATATTAGCCAAGATTAAAATGAAGGAGAGAATCCTAGAAGCAGCAAGAGCTAAGGGGACAGTCACCTACAAAGGACTTCCCATCAGACTGTCAGCTGATTTCTCAAAAGACACCTTACAGGCAAGAAGGGGCTGGAAAGAAGTATTCCAAGTCATGAAATCCAAAGACCTACATCCAAGATTACTCTATCCAGCAAAGCTTTCATTTAGAATGGAAGGGCAAATAAAGTGCTTCTCAGATAAGACCAAATTCAAGGAGTTCATCATCACCAAGCCCTTATTCTATGAAATGTTAAAGGGACTTACCTAAGAAAAAGAAGATAAAAAAGATGAACAGTGAAAGGACAGCAAACTCACAGTTATTAACAACCACACCTAAAACAAAAGCAAACTAAAAGGACAGCTAGATCAGGAGCAGAAACATAGAAATGAAGATCACATGGAGGGTTAGCAACAGGGGAGTGGGAGAAGGAGAAGGGGGGAGAAGGTACAGAAAATAAGTAGCATAGATGGTAGGTAGAAAATAGATAGGGGGAGGGCAAGAATAGTATGAGAAATATAAAATCTAAAGAACCTGAGACACATGGTCATAAACTAAAGGGGGAAATGGTAGGGGAGGGGTGTGCAGGGTGGAGGGGAATGAGGGGGGGAAATAGAACAACTGTAATGGCATAATCAATAAAATATATTTAAAAATAAAATAAAATGGGGTGATTCCCAACCCCCATTCCACCTCACCCTTATGTCCCCCCCACACCCCACCAACCAGGTTCAGTCAGGTGGTGTGGGGGATTCTGGGCAACTGCATCTGGGTCTAATGCTGATGTCCTGGGTTCCCCAAACAGAGCATTTTCTCTTTCTATAATTACAATTTTGTGTAATTACTACTTCTTTTTCTTAGATAGGTCAACTTGCATCTAGCAGGTACCCAGCAAGTGAATTTATTTATCTATTTGACAATGCCATAAACTCAAACCTCTCCAATGTTTGTTCTATGGCCTCTGTTTGCTGAGTGGATTCTACATTCTGTGATCCTTGTCCTAATCCTACCCTGAATCTAATTTAACTAAAAGCTGTTGGTGTGGGAGCCTATCTTGGCCAAGCATGTCGGTCATTTTACTTTATAAATCCCATAGCTTCATTTACTGTTTTTGAATTTTAGAAACACCAATAGCAGATGGGCTTTCTGAATACTAAAGGAGAAGCCAGGCAAAACAGCAGTCAAAATGTTCACACACACGTGCACACACGCACGCAGACAGGGTACTGCTTGGTGTTCCTCTCTATATTCTGTCCGTGCAGCCCAGAGCTCCTCTAGATGAAATGTTGGCATTCGGCAACCCCCGTGGACAGCCATGCGCCTCCCTCTTTGGCATCCCTCTGTCCATCAAATGCCACTTCTCTCTGCGTGAAAGAAACTCCACATCGGTAAGGGGACAGGGATCTCCCAGAACAATGTGCCAGAGCCTGTTGCCCACTGGGGGCACGGCAGGGTCAGCTTTCACTGCAGACAATGAGTTGAGAGCAACCTGAGGAGCTGCCCATTGTGGTGATGAGTTTAGCACACTTGCTTTACAGACTGATGTAAGGAGTGTCAGCGATGGTAGATCAAGTAGCTCTTGAGACCCTTTCTGGTTGCTTCCTTGGGATGATAGCTAAGAGAAGCCTGCAAATGTCTAGGCACCAGAGCAGGATTCATTTAACTTGGTTAATGAAGCTAATAGTTGGCATAGTTTGAAACTCCTCCAGTGAAGACCCAAGTCCTATCAGGTAACAACTGAAAAGAAAAAAGTGAGAGTAGAGATAGACGTAATTTTAAGGCTAGAACAACCAAACAGTTCCATTTGTATGCAGGCTAGTTTATGCTTCCATGAGAATCCGAGAGGCCACTGTAGCAGTTTCAGCAATGTATTGCACTGCCCACGTTTATCAAATATTTAAACATCCCATTTTTATTGATCCCTGCCTTTTGAATATATAAGTGAAGGAAGAAGGATAACTTTTATTTTTCATAGCAAGCATACAATGGCAACTCTTTGCTCATCATCTGTTCCCATCAGCACAATAAAATCACATTTTATTCTCATATTTGCTAGAAAAATAAATAAATCATTCTCTGTCTTCCATAAGTACATATTATCTAAGTCCAGATCAATTTATCCATCACAACATTAATTGATCAACATAGCGTCTGTCTGTCCATTCATTCACCCAAGAGAGAAGCAGATGACATATAATTATTTCTGTAATGGAACAACACTTTTCCTCCAATAGTGAAGCTGTGAGTGTGATAGGAAGGTTCTATTCCTTGAAGGCAAGTAAATACTTATTATTTTTTGTGCCAGTTTAGGGACCAAACATCTCCTGTCTAAAATGAGAATCACTGGTCAGAAATATCTGTTTCAAATGTAGCACCTCCAATAGAGTCCGTAAAGCTCCGTGCAAAAGGCCGCGCAGCTCCAGGAAACTAAAGCGATGCCCAAACCGCCTCACTCATTATGATGGACAGTAATCAGCGAACTAATAAAACGATTGGAGCTGAAATCATATTTGCATTCACAGCAGCCATGGAATAACGAATAAGCCAAAGACATGAAATACATATTCATTTTCCCTCCCCACGACACACACAAGCCTCACTTCCTCCCGCCTTGCTGTGTGAGGGTCAGCACAATGTTCTGTGCATTGAAAGACGGTGGCAAATCACGTTTGATGAGGTAGATGTTTGCTCTTAGTGCTTTCCACTCACTGGGGACAAGCAGCTGTTTGTGAGGGTCTTTCTCTAAGGCGACAGAATCATACCTCCAAGTCCAGAGGTCAGGAATTTATTCTCAAAGTAGCCAAAGCATGTTTTAAAGATGCAATGTGTCTTCTCGTATCTCCTAGCTGACTGGGTAGGTGTGCTGCATGCTACAGAGGTAACTGGGGTTTTATGACACAGAGGTTGGGTCAAGAATGAAAAGTTTGGAAGATTTACATTTTTCTCCGGCATTGACCTTTTGGCTTTATTCCTTAATTAAGCAAAGACGTGGCAGCAGAAGGGAGTATTATGGGCCTGCTGTCTCCCCAGGGTGTTATGAGATACCAGGTACAGTTAAGCTATCTCAAGACAACCATGTTCTCTGGAGTTACTTTATTGCTATTATAAAAAATCTTTATTATGGGAAAAAATATGTATTTTTATGCCAGAAGAAGATGAGGATGACAGGCTGTTGAATGGTAGTTTCAGCCGAGCTTCGTGCCCACTGAGATTGTAAAACACCCAAGACTAGGGGAGGCCTCCTGATGGAATCTTAAGAAACCTAAAGGGGTATATTAATCTTTGTGAAATTCATAGTTGGAACAGGTTACCATTAACTGGCACTTTCCAGTTATCAAGATATTTTATGAAACTGAAAAAAAGTCTTATTACACTTGCTAACAGGGCCAACTTTGGGGGTGTGGCTAATGATAATCTCTTTCCAGATCGTCTGCTGTCAGAAGCTTGAGATCCTGAGTCCACAAAGATGCCTGCAGCTTCTGGCCTGTGCTGCTTAGCATGACACTTCCGCAGAAGCTCCCATGTGAGTTTGCTCTCCTTTACTAAGGAAAAGGAAACCATGAACTGAAGGGCTGCTCTTTGCTTCCTATTGAAAACCTGGCATACCTTGCCAGGTAGCTCAGCTGGTCAGAGAAACATCCAGATTCAGCAAGGTCGTGGGTTCGATCCCCAGTCAGGGCACATACATGAATCAATCAGTGAATGCATAATTAAGTAGAGCAACAAATTGATGTTTCTCTCTCGCACCAAAAAGTCAATAAGTAAAAAATTAAAAAAAGAAAATCCGGCACTTTTCAACCTGATTGTTATTGTTTTTAGTGCAAATCAGCTGCCCTCTGCTTTCTGAAAAAAGTCACCATCACTTAAACTACTCACACCTACTTCCATTACTGCTCACCAAAGTAAGATTCCTTCCTTCAGCTTTTCATCATGGGGTATCTTTGGTAACAGGAAAGGTTTATATACTTGTGTACATTATTTTTATTCTTTTTTATTTTATTTTATTTATCTTTAGAAGGGAAGGGAAGGGAAGGGAAGGAGCGAAGGAGAGAAATATCAATGTATGGTTGCTTCTGGTGCATCCCCTGCTGGGGACTGGCCCCTGCTGGGAACTGGCCTGCAACCCAGGCGTGTGCCCTGATGGGGAATCGAATTGCGATGTTTTGGCAGTGCTCAATCCACTGAGCTACACCAGCCAGGGCTATTTTTATTCTTTATTTATATTTCATTCCCACTGAATTCCATGGTAATGTAAGGTGGCCCTTGCATTTTTTTCTCCTGGCTTTTCCTGGTGGATTCTCTAAGAGCTGACCTCCTGAAGTTTACCTGTTTCTTATGTATCCGTGGTCCAGGAACATAACATAGAATGATTTTCCCTCTACACATGGGAGGGAGAGATGATTTTCCCTCTCCCACACTTTCCATTCCGGAGAAAGGTATGGCTGCTATAAAACCAGCCAGCAGAAGCAGGGCCTCATTAGCATTTTTTGGCTGGCAAGAGAGTTTTGGTCTCACCTGGTGTGTTACAGGTCAGAGGAAGCCAAGGCCCTATGTTCAAAAGAAGAGGTTCACAGAACAGGTTCTCTAGAAAATAGGGCCACTGGTTGTTCCTTCATTTGTCAAACACCAGCTGTAGACCCAGCCCCACAATTGATGAGTTATGGAGCCGCGGCCATCAGCTATCCGGGCTAACCGTTATGCCTCCTTCATGAGAAATAAATTCCATCGAGAAGCAGGAACTGGAATGACAACAATAAAAAAAAACCCCACAAAAAATGGTGTTTCTATGGGGAAAAAGACCAAGGCTAGTATGTATTTTTTTTAATCCTCACCAGAGGATATGTTTACTGATTTTGGAGACAGAGGAAGGGAGAGGGAGAGAGAGAAACATCGATGTGAGAGAGAGAGACACATGGGTTGGTTGCTGCTCCTCAGCACCCCGATTAGGGATCAAACCCTTGATCCAGGTGTGTGCCCTGACTGGGAATGGAACCTGCAAACTTCTGGTGTAGGGACGACACTCCAAGTAACTGAGCCACCTGACCAGGGTTAGTTTTAGGGGTTTGGGTTGTTATTGTTTGTTTGCTTTTTTAATAGTTATTTTATCACATTGCTCAACAGATCTCACATGAGGAAGTCAGGGGCCCTGCCCTCACCACAGCTGGCCATCTAAGAATCGGGAACTCCAAGTGGCCTGCAATCCATCCTCCCTCCTGGCCGCCCGACAGGAGCTCTGCAGGTCAAATCCAGTGTGCACTGAAAGCTCTCAGGCCTGCTTCCTGGCTCACTTTCGAGTTGTTGTTCAGTACAACAGAACTGAATCCAGGGGTTTGCAATGGTGCCTTTGCTCACGATGGGATTTCACTAGTCAGTCCCACAAGTTATCTGTGTAAAACTATTTGTGTGTTGCTCAGTGACCGGGCAGTGGCAGAGCCCCCACAGAACAGAGTCCTTGCTTCTGTCAGGAAAGTCATGGTGTTGGGGAGAGGTGGTGTTGAGTCATGCTCCTCTATGACCGAACAAAGGGAACAGTTGAGGACATCATTTGGCATCATGTTTGGGAACTAGAAAGAGATGGAGCTAGAGGGGACTTGGGTGCAGAGGCAAGGAATAGACTCATAAATGAGGGAAACCCTTGTGGCTAATTTTATGCTCCACAGCCTTAGAATTTCGCATTCCTTATTGAAGAATACCTTCGTGGGGTTCTGCTTTCCTAGTGAGAATGTCACTTTCATTTTCGACTTCATTATATTCTTATTTTGGAAAGAGTCTGTTCCATGGTGCAGGTTTGCTGGCTCCGTCCTTAGGAAAGATGCTCAAATTATGTCTGTCACAGTCAGGCGGTTCAGTATGTAACACCGTGTTTCCTCCCAGACACCAAGTGGCATCCAGTTGGTCCTCTGAGCCTCTCCAAATGTGCAGGGCTCACCTTCTGTTGTGAAAGCAGAGTAATCTCAGGAGACTGACATCACTGGATGTCCCCAAAGCATAGCTGTCAAGTACGTAGATTCAAAGTTTCACCATTTCATTTTATCAATTTTCGGAGCTTATTGAGTTACTTGTGTGTTTCTTCTCTTCCATGATGCTGCGAGCTCTTCCCGCGGTGCTCTTTTATTTGGAAGACCCCACGGCAGGCCACCCAGGAGTCAGGCGGGAAAGCCTTCCTCTAACAAACCAGTGTGAGCAGTGTCAGAAAAATGTGACACGAAGGTGACAGGAAAGCAAGTTCTAGTTTTCCTGCTTCTCAAGGATTGTATCAAACAGAGTTAAAATAATGGAAAGTATCTGGTCTTTCCAGATGCTCTCTCTGTATGTGGTAGAGAGGTGACTGGCACCGTGAGACAATGGTACACGGGACTGGGTGTATTGTAAAACCCTAGAAGCGTTACATACATAGCGGCATTAGAGTACTATGACCTGCAGGAGCAAAATGGATCAAAGCAACTTATTGATTGGGATTGCGACTCAAAGTTTGAATGGAATAGCTAAGAAGCCACAAGGCCAATATATACTCCAATTATTCTTTCTTGTTACCATCAGCATTTCCTGATTTTTTAAAAATTTTAATGCTACTGAGAACATGTAGAAAGTAGAATCTGAGCATGGTAAGTAATGATTACTATCTGCAAGGGAGTCTTCTGAGTCATTGAAGAAATACCCAAAGACAGGATTGGATCATCATTAGAAAAACATACATGGTGGGCATCACACACGCAGATGCACACCATTAAATTTACTTCCCAATTTTTGGCTTGATTAATGGAAATTCCAAAGAGTTTTGTTTAAACGAGATTGGGCAGGCGCAGGGTGGTATGGCCTAGACTCAAAGAACTTGGTTTAGATCAAATTGTTGACTTGGGCTTCCCAGCTGAACCCCACTGTGGGTGATACTATGTCACTGCATTAATATGCCTGTGGTTCAGCAGCTTCAGCAGAAAAGGAATTCTAATTCCTTGCACTTGGAAAACTGTTTGTTACTGAAAGATTCTTCAGTCTCCCAAACCTATCTGTCCATGAGGAACTTTAGAAAAGAAGTCTTCTCCTCTCCACTAGCGATTGGTTCCTCTTGTAGTTCACAAGTGCCAAAAGTTTTTTGTGTGTTTTCTTTTTCTTAGAGGTTTTTGCCAGAGAGTTCAGAACTTATAACGTGCCCATTTTACATGAAAACTGTGTCTACATTACAGCACACCCAGGTGCCAGGATTCTGACCGATTTCTGACTGAGAACATTAGTTTGTCGACCACTATTTTTTCTTGTTTTTTAGTTTGTTACACACACACAAATGTAGGCATGTAGTGGAACTGCTAAAATTGACAAAGAATTGTGAGTAGAAAAGGTATATTTGTGTGTTTAACTCTTGAATCCAATATTTAAAATAAGAAGAGCAATAATCACTAAAAGCATCCATGTCCCTGATTTTGTTTTAGTGTCATTAAAATTCCAGGGCAAAGCTTACCATTCGTTCTCCCTTAAGAAACTGGGTTACTGCCTCTGTGTGAGACCCCCTGAGGGGTGGGGCAGGCGGGGGAAGTCAGAGAGCCAGTGTCTGAGGTAACCGTGGCAATGCATTTGAAGAAGAACCAGTTCCTGAGAAGTGTGTGTGTGTGTGGGGGGGGGGATATATCATTGGACTTTGCAGAGGCAAACATGACCCAGCAGGTTGGAGACTGTGAGGAGTGGGGTCCCGCTGGCCACTGAGGCCCCCTCCTGCCTGCCCCTCGTTCAGGCCTCCGCTGCTGCCGGAGTCCAGGCCCAGTCAGTGACAGGGGCTCCCGGGGGAGTCGGCCCTCCAGCTCCCTCCAGGATGGGACAGGATATGACAGCCTGGTCTGTGCACCAGCATCCTTAATATTTCCTTCCTTTCAGAAGCAAATAGAGCGTTCCCTTATCTGAATGCTAATTTCCTAGTTAAAAACCCTCCCTTGCTGACAAGGGACTGAAAGAGTTTTAAATCACAGATGTAGAGTATCAAATGCAATAATGCTCTTGCAATAGTGCATTGAAGCCTCAATTAATTAACCCTTGGGCTAAGTAGGCAGGTACATGGCGGTGGCCGCAGGCGGTGGATGGATGAGATTTAAATGTGCATCTCATTTCCCCAGCACGGAGCATGCCGTTTGGTTCAGAAAGGAGTCATTTTGCACACTCGCCTCATTTACTCGCCGCTTTAATCCTCCTAATTCCACCTGAGATCGGGGGAGAATTGAAAAGGAAGGCGAGGAGCAGGGGCTGCGGGCTGGGCTTTTGTGTTCTCGGTCCCCCGGGGCCGCGCGTCTCAGGGCCTCCAGCGGGCTCTTGCCTCCGAGCGGGCGTCAGTGGGAACTGTGCACCGCAAGACCAAGGGGGATGGGCGGTGTTCACACTTTTTAGTGGGATGCGGGCAGTTTTGGAGGAGGCTTGTAGGCTGGGCCACCTTCCCCAGGTTCGGGGTCCCCAGGCCAGGCCGCAGTCTGCGCCCCGCGCACCAGGGCGCTGGCTGCCGGGGCTGGCTGGGGTTGGGGGGAAAGGGCAGGACCACCGCGCCCCGACACCCCGTGCGCCTGAAGGCCGGGTGGGGGCTTGGATCCCGCGGCGTTTAAAAGTCCAGCGGCCTGGGTTCAAGAACCACATCCCACCCCTACCGGGCGTCGTGTCCCGCGCTGATTAGGTGTAACTCTCCAGCTCATTTCTCTCCACGCGATTTACCATCTGTGAACTCGTCTTTAACCTAATAAAAATCATCTAGCTTTTGACTAACAAGAAAAGGAAACAGTGCTCATTGTGGGGTTTGGGGAAAATGGCTTCACTAATGTGCAGGATGAGAACGGAGTGATTTATAGGCGGTTTTAACTGTAGGCTATGATTAGGGGGCTGGTAGTGAGTGCATTAGATGTCTAAGTGTGGCAATAGAGTAAATAGGCGTTTTATTTATCGCAGTGCCAGGGGCCTCTTAGCGGAAGAGCGCTTCTCCAAATTGAAATATAGCAGAGTTTACACTCCTGATTAGGGCTTCAAGCTCAGAGCCCAAGGCTATCAGCTAAGCAGAAACAACGCTCGCTGACACCTAATTGTCACTGGATTAATGTGCAAACAGGGACAGCGAACAGCAACAACAAATAACCTAGTGTCAGGAGCCGTTGGTGGCAGTGTCCACTCTCAGTGACTTGGGGCCAAATTGGAGTTTATATGTCAAAACGGGCTCGGATCAATGTGCCCGGCTCCTCCTGCAAAGGGCAGTTGTTGATCTATGTGTGTGTGGGCATATAATTTGCTGGGGAGTGGAGGGGGGCAGGCAGACGGAGGAGGTGAAATGCCTTTCCATTAATTTTTTTTCTGCTTTATGCTCCCGAATTCACAGCTATTAAGATAAATTTATGTGGATCAGGTCTTTCCAGGATCTTGTGACTTTCGCCTGTGTCTCCATATAAAATTTAATAGCCCTGTTTGTGAATCAAATCATTCCCACAACAACAGATTCAATCTGGGTTGCCACCTGTCTGGCTTTGCCTAGGAGCGACTGAACTGGGCAGCTGGATTCCAGCTTTTCATGGGGGCTGGTGGTTGGTTGGCTGGCTGTTGGGTGGCGGAGTTTGCCCTGGGGTTTTCCAGAGGAGAGCTAGATGTGTCTGAAGCGGGGAGGAGGACAGCCTTCCATGACCACCCCCACCCACCTTTTCTTTAAATGACCAAATGGGTAGCAGTCCTATTTTTTAAAAAACACAGAAGATCATGACAGTCCAAAGCAAATGGTGAGATAGGTTATCATCCAAGAAGTTCTTAGGCTCACTCATTTTTCTTGTACAATTAGCCATTTAGGGAGGGGAACAGTCACAAATACATGAATTATGTTTCTAAATGTATTTCTAAAGTTCTTAAGTTTTATTGAGCATGAAAGTTGGTCTTTCCCTGTGTTAAGGACTGAAGCAGCTATAGAACTAGCTAGTAGCTCAATGATGCAAAGTCTTATGATTTAAACTTGACATTTGCAATTTTTTGCAGTAAAATATTACTTTCTTTATTTCAAGACTTTAGTTGAAAACCTCGTAATTCCTTTTAAGCTCCATTTGATTGTCAATTGCACAACTCTCTGTAAAGCTTAGGGCTTATGATTTTCATACACACATGATTTATGCTTTTTGTGTCACAATATAATGTACTTTGGTACAGCTCCCACTTATTTCTCCTGCATCATGAGAGCCTTCCCTTTGAGAGGCTGGGGCTGTTATATGGAAGCTGGGAAGGAGTTGTGACCTGGCTGCAGATTTCCTTGAATTGTCTGAAATTGTCATTTTTGCTGCCTTCACCAGGCTTCTATGTTCTTCCATTTAGCGTATTTTCAGAAAATGGTAATCTGGATATCTGCATATTTGGATAAAAGAATGAAATAAATTTTGCTCTTGAAAATTTCAGTAGCTGGCCACAGAAAGCCCATTCATTGTCAAATATAGAGACAAGGATGGCAGAACATGTTCTGAAAGTTGCAAACACTGAAATTTCTTTTCCTCCATTTGCTCTCAGAAAATCATGAAGCTGTGTCTGCAGTGGGGAAATCCAAGCTCCATTTAACTAATAACATGCTGGATGAAGTCAGTGTATTTTTAATCCAGCTGTAGAACTCTAAATGCATCCAAGCTGCTGACCAGAACATAACATTTTAAAGTTCTAATCATTCTGATAAGAACAACAATAAATAACCAAAACATCACAAGTAGATATGAAGTTTTCTGAAAAAAATTAATAATATATGTTGTTGTGATACAGATTGGAATTCACACAGGAAACATTTTGTTCATCCTAATTATTACACTTTGTAGATCTTACTTGTAGACACTTAAAACTGGAAGGGCGCTCAGTGTGATGGGCTGGCAAGGGAGAACTGGTTATGGGAGAGGAGGGAGTATTGGTTTGACGTGTGAGTAGTTCTGCTGAGGAGTTGTAGACTTATTTGTGTATGAATCCCTCTTGGAGTTTCCGTGATGACTTTTGGGCTACAAACTTCAGATGTGTCTGAGGTAGTGAGTTTCTGCCACATTGGTGTGAATAGGTTTTAAGAGAGTTGAGTAAACCAAAATAAAATTATGTCAACCAAGAAAAAAAGGCCCCCCCCCCCAAATTTTAAGTATGGCTATTTAAATCAAGATCTAATCTGAAATTCCTTCCACTATGGGCAGGCTCTGGGTGTTATGTAGTGGTTTTGGGGAGTATATTTATTTTAAAAGAACTGCTGAAATCTAAGGTGAGGACCACCGATGGGCTGTAAGCCTGGAGTCTGAACTAAGCTGTCTACTGACCTGCTCCACACACCCCCCCCCCAACCTCGAGTTCTGGAGAATTTTAAAATAAGAAAACCAGTCATTATCAAAATAACTGGCACTAGGAATATAACTGGGCACTTTTAAGTAATAAACTGATTAAATTCGATTCTAATTTCATAGAGACTATTACACAGAGCTCTATGAAAGGAAGGAAGAGGGGGAAGCTATTCAGGAATTAAATCTATGAAAGAAGTATCATTTGTTCTGGGCAAAAAATTCCGGAAGCATTTTTGACAGTAACCAAATATTTGGAAGAGAAGGACCAGGTACTGAAGGGAAAAGGACACCACTGTGTGACCAGTGGGGACACGGGTTTTGAATGGTCTGGGCCTAGTGGGGTGACCTGGGCCAAGTCGCTGCTGAACCACCAGGTATTGTAGTTTTCTAATCTGTGAGCAACGTTCATTCCTCCAGTGAGGTCTGCAAGCCCTCAAAGTCAACACCCAACAACCCCCCCCAGGAGTTCCCACGCACTCCGGAATTTAAAATGCTTGCACCTACATATTTTCTTGTAAATGTGAGGTTTTCAATCACTTGCGCTTTAGCAATTTGAGCTCTGATGCTGCAGTCTGAGGAAAAGACTTGAAGGGATGCTGACGGCATTAAACTGGTCCTTCAGCCCACAGGTGTACTGCAGTCGGCAAGCTCTCCCAGGGCCTTCCTCTCGAATGCACGAGCTCATGACAACTCCAGTGCTTGTCACTATTTGCTTTGAAGGTTCTCTCTCCACCACGGTACTTTTCTGTAATTAACAAAAAAAAAATAGTTTGGACTAAAAATACTGTAAAATCTCCTCTTCCCGATTTTCTCATTTATTTAAATTACTGTCTTTAATTATTATATGCTTAAGAAATATCATGAATTCATGTATATGGGTAGTTACATGAATTTTTTTGCCATTTTCACCTTCCAAAATAAAATGTATCCCAAACTGATATTTTTTTGGGATTGTGCAAGGAACCCAGTTCTTTAACATGATAAATATGCATCTACGTATTGTCCTTCTATTTAAACAAGTAAAGACAGACAAGGTATATTGTATTTCAAACATGCATGCTATTTTTTGGCAAGCAATTTTTAGAAATCACTTTTTTTTCACCCTAGTACTAGAGGGCTGATTGTATTATCCTGTTGTA